TTGCTGAGCTACAAAATGTATATGCTCTATATTTATTTCTTGTACTTCAAACTCTCTATTATTTATGTAAATACCAGGCTACGTATGCAGAAGAGAAGAGAAACGAGAAGCGAGACGGAAACTAAAGCCGACGTACTACAAAAATTAAATAAAGAAATATCCAAAGCTGTTCACAAGACACTCAATAATACAATCAAGAGCAAATCGAACATACCATCGAGAACAATAGAAGTATGAAAGAATTAAGAAAAAGACTAAGAATGGGGACAAGGCAGATAATAAAGATTATAGAAGATAGAAATGGTCATCTTACAACCAACACAGAGGAAATCCTTAAAATAGTTGAAGACTTTTACAAATTTTACTTTTAATAATCACAAGCTAACACAAATCAAATAGCAGAGAAGATCAAGAACCAGAAATATTAACAAGGAAAAAGGGCATTGTCAACCAAGGATCAGAACTACTAGCGAAAATGACAATAGACAGTAATGTACACTTCCCGTCATATAAAACTGGTACACTTTTCTTTCCTAATGTAAACCAGTGTTTACAGTTGGGAAAATTGTGGTAACCAAATATATAAAGTATTAAGATACATATATTATTTTTTATCATTACCAACAAAAAACGGTATGAAATAAATTTAATAACCAAAGAGATGGTTAAGTTTATGTCCAAAATGCTTAAAGAATCTATTAATAATGGAGATATGACAAAATGTTAATATTTCATCAGTTTCGAATTGTAATACATATATTTAAATTCCACACTTGTTCACTGTAAAAGTTACTCATTTTGTATTAATGTAAAATTTAATTTTTAATTTTTTCCAGTGTATTTTATTTATTCTAGTATGTCACAACTCACTACAGTTTTGTGCTACACTTTACGAGAAACGAATGACACCTCTCGATTTGAAATTAAACATAATTAATTTAAAGTCATTGTCTAGATTTTTTATTATCTATCATTATTTTGAATTGAAATACACTAAGGTTGCAAAATTAACCGGACACCCAGATTTTTCTTAAAAACTAGCGTTTAAAAAAGTTTAAGATGTTCCCAATTGAGTATTTATTAAAAAACAAAATTTAAAAGTCAAATTTATCACAACTCAAGAACGTTACACAGAAAAAACAATAAACAATTCAAAAAATTTGAAAATTTGCAACGAAACAAAAATTAATATTTTTTAAATATATGAATATTTTTTATGGAAAACGATATTTCGTAGAGTTTATTACCCCATGATCTAAAAGCAATAATTACAGCTCTCATTCGATCAGGTATACTTCGGATTAAGGCAGCAAAGTCTGAGTCTTGAGGATTTGCTCCCATTCTTCACGAACTGCTTGCTCCAAATCATTCATGGTTTCAAAATCACCATAGTCATGTCGAATACGTCGTTCCAGAATATCCCATGCATGCTCTATTGGATTTAAGTCTGCACTCCTTGGAGGCCATGGTAATAAACGAATCCCAACTGAATCAAAGTAATCCCGTATAATTCTTACGATGTGTGGCGAGCATTATCTTGCATCAGACGAAAGTTTTCTCCAACAAATGGTTCAAATGTCACTACATTATGTTCCAAACAATGCTGAATATACCGTTGAGCGTTCAAATTGCCCCCTTGAATTGTAACAAGTTCTGTATGAGCCTCTAGGAAATGCCTGCCCACACCATTTTAACACCTCCACCGAATTGAACTCTCGGAGTAAGACAACATTGTTAGAAACGTTCAACAGCTCTTCTCCATATTCTAGGCCGTCCATCTGATGAGTATCTGTTAATCTTGATTCATCCGTGAAAAGCACAGCACTCCAATAGTCAACACCCAAATTAAGCTGTTTGCGAGCGAAGTGTAAACGTTGCCTCCGATGATCTGCTGTTAATAGAGGTCCCTTGACAGGTATTCTGGACCTTAATCCATATTCATTAAAGCGTCTTTGAATGGTATAAACGGAAACTGTGTTTCTATTGACATGATTTAATCATTGAACAAGCACTGATGCTAATAATGTACGATCACGTAACGCTTGTAACCTAAGAAAGCGATCTTCAACTTAACTTATGGTTCTTCGTCTACCTTGACTTGACCTCCTGGTGTATTGTCCTGTTTCCCGAAATCTTTGTGTTGCATCAAACACTGTACTTCGAGAAATTCCTAAAGCATTTGCGACGTAACGAATGCTCCGCCCATCATTCTGTAAAGCAACAGCTGGGCTTCTTCTTCCGGTGTCATAATTTTTTTAAGGTAAGTTTTAAACAGGAGACAATACAAAAACCTACAGCCAACCTTATAATCAGGGATAGTACCACAATAAACTTAAATACTACTAATCCACTATTTCACATTAATAACAAAACGCATGTATAAAAGTGTTGTTGTTCGCACAAAACATCTAAACAGGTTCAAACAAGAAGAAAACGTTATCGCTAATATGGCATAAAATACAATTCAATCAAATTAAACAAGTTTTGATCTAAACACCAACAAAAAACAAAAAAATCTAAGTGTCCGGTTATTTTGCACACAGGTATTTGCTCATAAATTATAATAAAACACAATTCAATGTATGGGTACTTAATTGAGATGATGGAAAATAACAAAATTATTAGAACTTCTTAGGATGTATGTTTTAAATAATGTGACTTACTGATCGGAAATGATCGATATGTTTTAGTTTTTAGTATTTTAGCAGGTTGTAGGAATAAAAATAATTGCTCAAACAGTTTTTCAACCCCTTTATTTGATCATTTTCACAAGAATCTTATGCATGCTGGTCCTCAGCTTTTACTTGAAACGATAAGAGAAACTTTCTGGCCGTTATCAGGAAGAAATTTAGCACGACGTACCATACACAAATGTGTAAAATTTTTTCGATTAAAATCCTTTTAGCCAATAGGAGATCTACCTCTCTAGCGTATTGCAGGTGGGCCACCGTTTATTATAACAGGTGTAGATTATGCGGATCCTTTCTTAATTCGCGATAGAAAGGGTCGAGATTGTAAACTAACTAAGAGTTACATGTGTCTTTTCATTTGTTTTTGTAAGAAGACCATACATTTAGAATTAGTTACGGAACTGTCTAAGAAATCATTTATGTTTACCTTTAAAAGATTTAAGAGGCATCACCATCTTTTAAGACAAGCCTTAAAAGATAGTTTCCGATAATGGAATCAGTTTTATAGCAGCTAGTTCTGAGTTAAAAATGTTAAGATAATTTTTAGAGCAGCACACTCCCGCGATAAGAGAATCCTTGCTAAAGGATAATATTTCGTGGTGTTTTATACCTCCATATTCTCCACATTTCGGCGGACTGTGGGAAAGCGGAGTAAGAACAGTTAAACATCATTCACATAGAGTTTTGGGAAACGCGCACTTAACGTAATTTTATTCGTTACTTGTGCAGATTTAAGCTATAATAAATTCCGATCGATTCATCCTTTATCCTGTGATCCAAATGATCTCTCCCCATTAACTCATGCACATTTTCTAATGGGAAGACCACTTATTACCAATTCAGATCCAGATTTGCGATATTCCAGTTAATCGGCTCTCAAAATTCCAGCATATTCAGCAGCTTCCTCAGCATATATGGGAACGATGGAACAAAGAATACATCTCCGAACTACAAAAACGTACTAAATGGACTACTACTAACGGTGAAGTTGTGGAGAACACGTTAGTGCTCATAAAAGAGGTCAATTTACCCCCATTACGGTGGAAGTTAGGTCGCGTGATCGAACTTATACGCGGCAGTGATGACGTTGCCAGAGTTTTTAAGCTAAAGACAGACATTTTGGTATAACAACTCGTTCTTTTTCCAAGGTGTGTCCGTTGCCCGTTTCGGACTAAGTAAATTTCAAACATCTGAACATTTAGCCTTAGCAGTCGATTTTGTTGGCAGTGTTTGCCAAGGCGGGGGCCATGTTCACGCCACTATCTATTTTAAGTTTATTTCATGCATTTTTCCAAACCGATAACGCAGCAGTCTATGCATAAGCATTATGCCATATGTGAAGATTAGATGAGAGCCCCTAAAAGCACTAAAAGACGACAGCACTCAAATACGGGACGAGAACGGTGATACAGCATTGAGAGCGAGCGGAAATAATACTTAGCGTTCTCGTCCCGTATTTGAATGCTGTCGTCTTGGGGCGATTTTAGGGGCTCCCTTCTAATCTTCGCGTATGGCATAATATCTGCATACGCATAGACTGCGGCGTTGCCGGTTTGGAAAAATGCATGAAATATACTTAAAATAGATAGAGGAGTGAACACCCTTATTTATGTGTTTGAAGTAGGGGCGACTTTTGCGTTATAAACTAATTTAGCTACAGCGCTCTCTATATGTATAGTAAACACATTTTTAAATTTTTAATTCTTATAGCTGAAGGGAAGACAAATATTTAAAAACAAGTTTTCTACGACCAACAGAAATGAAGTTAGCTTAATTTGTTTAAAAAATCACAGCTGCTGTGTTTATAACAATTAATAATTAAAACTAGTGACATTAGATAGTTGAAGGCCTATGGTACATGAGGATATTATTTTTTTTAAACCGCTATTTATAGTCCAAAAACATAAGTAAAGTTGACTATTGGGCCAAATTTAATGTAGCTCAGCTCAAATTAAAGCTTTTTTATGTACTTTATTTCCATATTCTGCTCATTGTACTCTAAAATATTGATTGATTTGATACAATAAAACTTATCAAAAAACACCGTTTGTGCACCTTAAAAGTGCCATAAAAAAATTACAAACGGAGTTGTAACAGTTTGGAGTTGCAAACACTTTGAGGTTACTCCAGGCATTGCCATTTATAACGCTTATTATCAAAAATTCATTAATTAATGCACCTTTTTTTCTACCTCTTGGAGTACATGTATCATGTTTACTATTCTGTATAACTTTTGTATTTATTAATCAATTTCTTATTTGAATTTTATTCTGAGCACGTTTCATAATTTAGTTTTTTTTTTTGTTTCAGAGTGTAATGGAAAGATTTCCCGCTAGCTCAATACAAGAACCGAGCGCATTTATGAGTCAAGACCCAATGGACATGTATAACAATATACTAGTCTTTATCGTAACAAATTCAAACCAATCACACCCAACAGAAATGCACATATTCCAGGTAAATCTTTGAATAATTCATCAAGTGAATATTCTTCTACTTATGAATAAAGCATTACTGATATTATGTAAGAAATGAGAACATAGTTAGGTATTTATGACAATCCTGGAAGAGTGTGTGCAGTGAATTATATTGAGATTTTTAGGTGCGAATAGTATATTAGTATAATATAATAGAAATGTATAGTACGGGTTCCGAATCTAGCTCTACCTTCTCCCATCTCTTTACCGAATGAAACATTTTTTTATCAAATTTTATACATAGACAAATACGTCTTGAATGTATTGCCTATCAAAATATGTTCATAGTTTAATAGTGGAAGTTTAAAATGAGTGCCAAAACTAATATAATGAGATATTTAGTAAAAACCTTAAATAAACGCAAGGGTTAATTTTGTTTGTTTATTTATACAAAAATCTGTTTATTGTAAAACTGTTGGTGCTCAGCAATATTGAGGTATGGTATCGTTGATTGGAGGATCTTCCTCTTGTTCGCTGGTACTTTATTTTCAGGTTCCATTATCACTAATTTAATTTTTTCAAATCATTTAGCATCTTGTTTTTTTTATGCTAGTTTTACGCCATGATTTAAATATAAATGGCTGGTTTTGATGTTTATATATATTATATATATATATATATATATATATATACAAAAGTAATATACAAAAAAAATAAACTGGACGCTTTTGAAATGTGAGTATACCGCCGCATGTTGAAAATATCCTGGATTGATCATTGCACTAACGTATCAATATTACAACACCTTAAAGTAAAATTAAAAACTTCAACAAATACAACAGAGATATTTGCAGTATTTTGGACACATTGCTAGAAGAACAGGTACAATGGAAAAACTAATAGTCGAGGGTAGAGTTGAAGGAAAGACACCTAGCGGAAGATTTTCAAGCCGTTGGATAGATTAAACAAAATATCGATTAACCAAGGGTTACATAAAGCCGAACAACTAGCCCAGGACAGAGAAAAATGGAGGGAAATCGTGTAAAACCTGTAAATTTGGTAGATTAGTTCCTTTTGTTTATATTATCTTTTTGACGATATCTCTCGATTTTTTCCTGTCTCTAGATTTTCCTCTCCATTCTCTGACTCCTGCCCTTTAGAGATCTTCTTCAACTTCCTGCAGCCACTCTGATGTTGGTCTTCCCATTCTCTTTCTTCCTCCTCTATTCCATTCTACAATTCCGTATGCCACTGTTTCATCTCCTGCTCGCCAAATGTGACCTAACTATCTAACTCTGCATTGCTTTATTTTTGGTACGATGTCTTCTTTAAGTTTTTCCTTAATGTCTGCATTTGTTCTGCTTCTGTATTCATTTTGCTCTATTCTAATTTGTTCCAGTATGGCTCTCATAATCTTTCTCTCCGCTATTCTTAAGTCGTCTTCATCAGTTTTGACCATCGTCATTGTTTCTCCTGCATATAATAATATTGGCCTAATTATAGTATTATAAATGTTCATCTTAGTTTCTTAGTCTACTACTAGTTTCCTAGTCTTAGTCTGAATTTATGTGGAATTTTTAATTTTTCAAGTACTATTAGTAAGTCTTTTCTTTGAATTGAATCAAATTTTTGTTTGAAGTCTAAGAATAACATTTCCAATTCTAATTTATATTCGTTTGCTTTATCCATTATTTGTTTTATTGTGTTTATTGCATCCATTGTAGATATTCCGTCTGTGAATCCATATTGGTACTGTCGCACTGTCTTCTTTGTGATCTTTGATAACCTCCTTGTTATTATTACTGTTGATATTTTATATGTTGTATTTAGTAACGTTATTCCTCTATAATTTTTACAAATTTGTTGGTCTCCCTTTTTGATGTATTGTCATCATCTGGTATATTGTCTTCTCCCCTCTTTTCATATATTTTTCAATTTTTCAATAGGACCAGTAGTTTTCCTCTCAGCTCCTTCCTCCGTATTTTATTATTTCCATATTAATTTCATCTTTACCAGGGGCTCTTCCATTTTTGCTTCTCTGTAATAATTCCTCAAATTCCTTTAATGTTGGTTCTTTTGAAATCTCGATGTCTACTTCATCTACTTCGACTGTTTATTTTTCGTATACCGTTTCCTCCTCGTTATTCATTTTTTCTCCTGATGTTTTATCCGTAAATAGCTCTCTGTATTAATCCCTCCATACTTGCTTGTATTGATCCTCTATTATCACTGTTCTCTCTTTTTTATTATGTTTGTTTTGCCTTTGTTGATGTTAATAGGATTCTATTATTCCACACGTGTCCTAACTGATTTGCTAACTTTTAGCTTAGTGGTATTTAACATTTTCTCAGCAGCCTCTTTGATTTTTCAAAAACCAAAGCTATTCATGTCGATGACATCGAAAGGTGGAGTGGATCTTGCGGAAGTAATAACGTTAATTAAATCCTTGGTACGACTGTTTCCTAGTTTTTTTTTCGTTTTTCTATTGGGGCAAAATCCCTGTCACAAGGCATGAAACTGTGGCCGCCTACCAAAAATCTTTGCTCTATATATAGAATTACATACGTATACGCCATTAGAAACCAAAACATCAACACAAACAAAATAAATTATTTTTATTTTGGCCACCACAGCCGTCGCTCCAAATAATGATGTCCTTGTTGTTAGTAAAGCCACTATTTAAGAAACGTAGCAGGTACGACGCAATTTTATTTGCGCCACGTTTCGAGAATCTTTCGTGCCACAGAAACATCGTGCCAAACAAACATTATTTGCATCCCCTATATGTATTACAACGTCAAAACAGGAAAGCTGTGACAAGTAGAACATATCTGCGTGAAACATGACTTGTTCCAGATCCATGGATAAGCAGCAAACCTTGCTACCAGTTTATTGTATCTATTGTATCTTGCTTAAGTAGTTCTTTTGCCTTTTCGGCTTTCCTTTGGTGAACTTTTAGCTCCAATTTTGACTGATAGCTACTGCCTTTGTTTACACGGATTTCACAGTACAATCTATCACAAGCGTGACATGTATCTATTCGAGATCGTCGAAAAGACACATTTATATTTAAGTCCAGGTATTTTTTACTGAATTTTGCCTTCTTATAGTGACTAACATGGCAGGGTATTGAATTAATGTGCTCTTTTATAGCACAGCGATCATCTTCAGAATATAGCAATTTTGCATGAGACGTCCTATTATCTGAGAAAGAAATTTCGCCAAGTTTCTTTATATTTACAATAACTTCCATCTTTTTTCCTTATTACCACAAAGGTATTCATGAATGTATTCTTACACACTTGAGCAAAGGCTCCATCTTTATTGGGTATGGTGTAACTTACTGTTGTTTGATGTCGACTATCTTCTGGATAATTACCTTGAGTTTTAATGTTCTCTCGGTGAAACTTTTCAAACAAGGATTTGAAAGACAGAATGCAACATGACGGGTTATATTACAAACCTCCTGTATTGGCAACGGTTTTGCTGCTATATTGATTTCTAGTTTTATATGCTTTGCCAGTCACCCTAAGATGTGTTTGTTCCTTGCTAAAGGCTGCTAATACCATTACTTCTTCAGGTTTTCACTTCACTTATTGCAACAAACTGTACCCTTTAATTACAATAAAATTAATAATAATAAATTTGACAGTCCGACACATAACCCCTTTGTAAAGCAACAGGAAAGGCACATACCGCTGGTGCCATCTTACAGTACATCCAACCTTTCTATGGCAATAACTCAAAATCAAAAGTTTTGGCAATTAGCACCTTTGAAACTTCAACTCTTCAATTATGTCCTTATGAATATGTTTTTAATTAAAAACATGTTAATTAATTTTTTTTAGCAAGTTTTACCTATTGTTAAACAATCCAATTTATTGAAATTAAAAATTTAAAATATATAGAACAGATCTATGAGGTATTGAGTAAATATAGGTGACTGCACCGATCTGTTTACCAATCAAAATATATATCAAAATAAAGATTGTTAAATAACAAAGCCGATGATATAATATTGACTGCACTAAATCGTTCCTGAAATACTATTGTCAAGCTTTAAAGTTTAAAAATCTGAGCCACTAAAGTTAGACGAGAGAGAAATCTTATCGTCGTATGAAGAAGGACTGAGCAGAGTAGCTGTGCACGACGCCTTCGTTAAATAGAAGAGAGTACGCATGATCTTTTTACATATTCCAAACATTTATGGGTAATGAAATTTTTTTTTAGTTTTATTTCTTATGTAATAAAAAATTGTTAAATCTATAAATATTCTACATTTAAATCATCTCGATTTGTCTCATGATCTTCAGATTCGCATAACTCTTCGGTTTTTTTCATTTTTCGTCACTTCCAGAAGGTCGTTTATCTTCAAAGGTGTCTCATTACCATTAAAACCTACTGGTTTCTAATAATTATTTTCTAAACACCACCTCAGTACTCCGGATTAAATTTCGCACAATTTAATTCTGTTGCATAAAGCCACATAAAATTGACGTACCAAGTACGCAAAATTTTCTGAGTAAGAGAAGACCAGCACGGTGGTATAATGTTTGAGTCAAACGATGATATATTTTTTAAGGACTGTTCATTGCCGTTCTTTGCAGAGTAAGTTTTCGGGAAAATGCAAACTCTTGCATCATTGATACTGGTGCAGAGCTTGATGCCATAAAGATTAGCTGTAAATTCCTGAACAGCTTCCATTTTGCATTAATAAAAATATCGGCTTCATCAAGTAATGATGAAAAAATCGTTTGGTACTTCTCATTTTCTGAAAATAGTTTGAACGGTCTAACTTTATCTTTTTGGCAAAAAGCTGCCGTATAATCGATTCTGGTAAATACATGGAAAGCTGGTAGACTTGTATATAGTTTACTTCCGATTTTTTGTGCCCAAGTTGTGCAATTAATACAATCGAGGTATTTCGTATTTTTTTCTTATTCATTGAACTGACCAACCCAATTTCTGATTCGTTAATTTTATTCATGTTTCCAAGTAAAAGAATTAATACATCAGTCTTCTTCTTTAAGTTCCATCTTC